TGATCCATGTGAAAGTAGAGCCTTTGGCCAGACTCTGTCCCAATCAACTAATGAGCTTAGAGCTCACTGCTCAGGCGGTGAGCTCAGAGCTCACTATGCATGTGTATTACAGACAAAATCAGGAGCTGGGTGGTGGTGGGAAAACTGGTTTACCAGCTGGTCTAAGGACCTGTGAACCTTGGCCTTAGACCAGCAGTTTCCAACTCTGTGTCACGACCCTAATCCTGGGGGCAATGCCAGCGGTGCCGCACAGAAAAGACGAGCCGCGCCGCATGGTTGGAGCTCTCCCGCCCCTGGCTGCTGCCACCACTTCACTCTGCTCCCAGCAGCGGGGCGCGGAAAAAAAGGTTGGGAACCACTGCCTTAGACCAACACGGCTACAATCTACACCGTTGCTTGTGGACTGGAGACAACTGCATTGAAAGCTGTCCTCAGCCTTAGGGGATTCAAACCCACAAGTCCCACTCCACAGGACAGTGCTATGGGGTAGACCAAGGGTCAGGATACCTTTCTGCTGAAACTATGCTAATGTACACACAGTTTCTGGGGCCCTGAGGAACGAGTGAAAGATTAAATATGGGTTTGCTGCTTACTGCATTGAGTTCTCTGTTGGGAGATGGAATTTGGTCCCTGCTTCCAATATGGTTTCTTGATTTTTATCCAGGGCCTTTAATATAAAATGCATAAGCAGACCTGATAGCAGGCAACAGAAGCCTGGACTTCCTTTTTGAGCAGAGTAAGTTCTCTCTCACTCTCCCTCCCTCACTTTGCTTCTGCTCCCCTCAAACCTTCCCTTCTTTTTGCACAGGGTCCACGGAGAGTTCCCTTCTCCCACCCTGTCTCACTTCTAGCCTGCTAGATAGGTTTTCCTCCTGGTAGGTGGGAAATATGGGTTTGAACCCCTTTTGGTCAGAAGAGATCTGACTTTGAGCCTCTCTGTTCCTAGGTTAGCTCTAATCACCAAACTATAATCTAAGGTATGTTGTGCTACCTCCAGTTGTGTTTTAAAGCGAAAGCTACCACAACTGACTTTTGTGAGGGGCCTGATTCTGTCAGTATGGCAGAGGCACACTCTAGCCACATTTACCAGTTGCCACTTGCTTTTGAGACAGTTCACTGCTAAGGCCTATAGCTGCTCTGTTATGAAAACTGCAACTTTGGTCACAAAATACCTGCAAAAATGCTTTAATTTGGACACAACAGCATTTTCCAATGGAAAACTGTTTCACTGGAAGTTTTCTGGCCCTGCTAAGGACAAAGCAGATATGAAGGATGGTTTCAGAGCTGGAGTGCATAAATGAACAGCAATGGACTGTGGCTACTGGCTCTCTCAATAGAGTATGGAAGGAAAAAAGCAGGAAAACCTGGTTAAATGAAGCCTTGTCCCTGATTTCTTCAAGAAAAATGGTAAAAATGGTAGTTATAATCCTGCATGACACTGTCAATACAAGGCTGTTGTGCTTTCTGCCTGAATAATAAGTAGTTAATTTCTTAATCACAGCATGCGCCCACTCCCCAGGTAATCATCTGGCCAAAACTGGAACAAACTAATGAGCCAGCTGATGGGTGATCTGATTCTGTTTGCTTAGATGAAAGCAAAGTAACAGAGGCTAGTCAATAATCAAATGTTAAGCAGTTTCTTCCTATTGCATCTTATCCTTGCAAAGGAGAAAATGCAGCAACCAGTGAGAGAAAGTACTCTGTGTTCCTCTGTTTCCAGAGACACACAGACAGCCTTGTGTCCTACTTATTCATTCATATAGCATTGTTTTATTTTGTAATACTGTATAAGGGTTTACCAAATAAAAAGAGAGGCCTTCACACCTGATTTGAACCCAGCTGATAGTTGCACCCGTGCAAATCAAAGGGTTTTTTTTTTCTTTTTCTGGGTTTACAAATAGCAATATGACACTGCCTTCTCCTGGAAAGTTTTATCATTAGACCTAGGCCAGTGGTTTACAACCTTTTTTTATTTCTGGACCTCTTTGGAAATTTTGAATGGAGGTGTGGAACCTTTGGATTCTAAGTGTGGGTATTCACATACTTTTGATTGATCATAGTCATATTTCATGAACCCCTTAGATATAGTCTGCAGACCCCCAGGGGTCTACAGACCACAGGTAGAAAACGACTGACCTAGACAAATGAAAAAAAGAAACCACCCTGGATTTTTGTTGTTGTTTTTTAACATTATTCTTACAGTGCTTGAAAATGGAAGGCTGTAACACAAAATATCGTAGGGAGTGAAAGAGCTAGCTAAACAGCAGTAAAGAACCCCAGGGTCCTGTTTCCTTCTCTGCTTCTCTCCAGTCTAATACTGAATCAGAAAAGAGTTCCTGAGAGGTCCAAGGTAAAGTAAGAAGCCAAAACTGAAATCAATTTTGGGGGAGGGAAGGCGTAGATTGTTAGTGATGGGGTGCCTCCCTGTGGAGATGCAGAGCTATTATCAGAAGCACCAACAGTTTCAAGCTCCTGTGTGAAGGGTCTGATTTAAGACTGGGCAAGAACTGAGACTGCAGGCGCAGCTGGAAAGGAAATTTCTGACTCTATTTGTCAACCATATTTACTCTAAGCTTGAAGTGCTCTTTGGCTACATTTCTGGTAAAATTCGCTCACACATTTGAGATACTGAGTGCCCAGTTTAGCAGTTAAGCCAGGTTCATGCCTGATTTGTGATGCTCAAATATCCTTATGGTCCACTGCTACTGTCCTTCCTATTTGCTTTGTGAAGTAAATGATCACAACTCTCATCATTAGTCCTACTGCCTGTGTGCCAGACAAATACTGCTTCATATCCATGGACAAATAGTAAATCTTACCATACAGTACAGAAAACACATTAGTCCAGTACCTTAAAGGTGTATTGGAATTCAGCTGCCAGAAGTGGATGTATGTGCATGTGGGTGTGTGACACTTACGTTTTTTCTGTTTATATAATCAGTTCTAATTTATCAGTTCTAGCTATTTTCCTGCCTTTATTATTGTGGTGTCTAAGCATATTCAACTGATTTCTCATCACAGGAGGTATTGTATCTCCTTGAACAACCAGGATATTTTAGACTACCATTGTGGAAGGTATGGAAGCTCCTTCTCAAACTAATAAATTTCAGCCTTGACTGAAATCCAAGACTGAATGAAAGTAATGGTAGTAGTTTACAAACCCATGCAAATATACATTTCACCATAAACCAGTCCTCCATGTAATTCATTATCTGGATTCTCAGGGAGGATGCTTGAGAAGAAGATTCAAGAAATCTAGGAGATAAAAAAAAATCCTAACTAAGGGAATACTGAGAAGGGAAGGCCTTAATCCTGCAAAATATTCCAAAATGATCAGCAGTTACATTTGTGTAAGGCACACTGGCCATGTCTACACAAGCCGCTGACTGTGCAGTAGCTCATTACTACTGAAAAGTAGCATTACATGGCAGGAAGTGTGATGTGATGTTACTGCGCAGTAGTAATGAGCTACTGCACAGTCAGGATCACCTAAGCTGTTCAGCAATGCTACTGCGCAGTAACTTTGATTACTGCACATTCAGTGTCTCGTGTAGACACAGCCACTGAAAACAGACGCAGTATCTACCCATAGATCAGCGCAGAAGGCCTAAGGGAGGAGTTGACTAGCGGTGGGTGAAACGGGATATATTTGATTTGGATTCAGCCTGAACTGGGGACAGTGATTTGATTCATTGAATCGGATTGCTGCCCCTGACTCAATTCAGCCGAATCCGAAGATTCGATGCTGATTTGGAGAATCAGCAATTGGGCCATAGACACAGCTTTAAATGTCTTTTCTACATACCTTGAGGTACCAGGCATGGCTTGTGAACACTGTGATGGTGGGGCAGATGGAGTGTCCCACAGTAGTGCAGGGGGGCCCCCCATGTGCTTGGTGGTGAACCCAGAAGTGGACTGGAAGTACTTTCGTTCCAATTCTGGGTCCATTGCTGAGCACTCTGGGGGCCCCCTGCACCCCCAGCTTGGCGATCAGCCATGGGGGGGGACCCTGGGTGCGCCCCCAGACCCAGGAGGCACCAGTCGCTGAGCTAGGGGGCCGTGGGGAGGCCCCTCTGTGCACTCCCCAGTGGACCTGAAAGTGGATTGAAAGTTCTTCTGGTCCACTTCTGGGTCTGCTGCCGAGTGCCCTGGAGACCCTCCCGCGCTCCTGTGGGATGCTCCATCCACCCCACTACTGCAGTGTTGATGAGCTGCCTGGTACCTTGAGGTATGTAGAAAAAACATTTAAAGTTGTGTCTATGTCCGAATCTCCAAATCCGAATCGATTTAGGGTTCCAATTCGATTTGGAGAGATTAAAGGGTCTCCTGATTCGATTCGGATTTGGAGATTTGGCCACCGAATTGGGCTGAATCTCTGCCAAATTGAATCAAGGACCAAAGCTTCGCACAGCCCTAGAGTTGACCAAATTCACATGCATACATATACATGCTTCTCTACCTCTTGGTGACAAATACATTTTCTCCCCCGCTTTCTACCTACTGCATACAACTTGTTTGATGGTTTCCTAAAATAAAACCCCACAAAAAATCCAACAATTGTTAGAGCGTCATCAGAAAGAGAAATGCAGATACATTATATTCAAAAGGAGAATCTTGAATATAATGTAGGGCCACCATGTGTGTATTTTCATAACATGCTTTAGTTAAGAGGTAAGTTGGCAAAATATTTAGCAGCACTTAGAGTATGGTTCATTGTAATGTTCCATTGATACCCTGTTAAAATGTTGTTGTTACAGCTAATGGCATTTTCTGCCTGCTGAAACAAATGGGAATAACTACCTTTGTATAAATCAGTTTTAAATGATCTAATTGTATTCCTGTTAAAGCATCATGCCAACAGACAGTATATGTCTTTGTTCCCCTTTCGATATGCTGAGATAACTGTTAACACTAAATGAATGAACTACATATCTTTTAGATCATTCATTGGATATGGCATTGAATTAATGACAACAAGAAAAACTGAATCCTGCAAAATACATTCTCCTCATGGTCTGGATAGAGTCTTGCACGTTTATTCCCCGAGTTTTGGCTAGGCATATTCCTGTTTCACATACTTAATAAACACAAGATTATTTTCCAGCATTCCACCAAATAAGTTTTCCAATTGAACTTTAACAAAGAAAAACCACTATTACAAGATTTTAATTATTTGGAACTCTAACAAAGTGAAGGTTTATTCAAAAAATATTTCTTTCCACTTCAGGCAAACTGTTACATTAACTTCCACTGACTAGTATTTCAAAGTATACTGTCATTTCCCCTCATATTAGTAAAAGATACAATTGGAGTAAATTGTTTCACAAGGTGTTTGGAAAAAAATATATACAAAATTATTCTTTATCTCTCCTCTTATGATGAAGCAGAAGTACACATTTTTGGAGCTAAAATATATATTGACATACTTAACCTCACAAATAAATAAATATGTACAAGGGAGGTTATTCTGTCAACAACAAAGAAAAAGGTTTACATTGCAAAAGTGAGAGTATTCAAGAACCTCAGACTGACAAGACAGTTTAAGACTACTACATGGTAGTAAAAAAAAAAGAAAAAAAATCTTAATTTAGCAAAAATATAGGCAACTGTACATTAATCTGATGGTTAGGTTACAGCTAGGCTTCTGCCAGGATACTTCTTTTACACTTTTCTTAACATTTACTGTACTATTGTGTTTAATTCCTCAGCTTTTCAGGAGCATATGCTTTTCCTTCTTTTCACTAGTGAACACCTTAATCAGGTAAAAATCTCACAGTAAGCGGCTATCTGAACACTATTATCTACAGTAGTTAGGCAGGTGGAATAATAAAATATAAGTTCTGTAAATGTTCATACATAAGCTTTGCCTAAATTCTTTTCCTTAATAAATGTATTTGACAGAATTAATCCCTGATATAACTACATCTGAAATCAATAGGTCTGAATTTAGTTTATACCATTACATGAATTATAATTGAGGTTTGCTCAGGTTATTTGTAGTGATGTTACAAACAGTGTTGCTGGACCCAATGTAATTAAAACACACTTCTCCTCTGCAATGATCAAGGTATTTGTGGCTCAGGTCGATATTATATTCGTGCAGTCACAGCATAATCTTTCCAAACAGAAACAGATGCAAAGTACACACACTATTACGAATCAAAGCCCCCAGTTACTGAGTGCCCAGCTGCTTATCACCAGATGTATATCACAGCAGAGGTTTGTAGAAATGTTTTGGTAAATATAATTGAATGAAAAGTGGTCAATTTTTTTGAAACTGAAAATTCTCATTTTCTGTTAAAAGAATATATATTTTTTATTTCCTTTGAATACATGGGAAATGTCCTCTATTTTCTGACCACAGAGGCAACGCATAGGGCACCCTCCCCCCACCCAGTCGGCCATGGGGGAACCCCCCTCTGCTCACTGACTGACATGCCCCCTCTGACCAAGGTGGCAGCAGTTGCCCATGTCTGACCAAATTAGTTATTGCCATTTTAAAAGAAGTGTACAGTGACAGGTGTCACAGACGCTATGCAATAACTATGCAATTTCAATAACAGATATGGTATATTGATAGACATAAATGGTAACATAGAGCCAGGTGATAGGTTTATATAGCTCAGAAAAGTAGAGCCTTTTATGATCTTTGTCTTCTGTACCCATTCAGAATTAAATGCAGTTTTGCAAACAGTGCAATGATGTTGAATTCAGGTTATGTTGATTGATCATTGCATCTCAGATGATCTGTATCCATATAACATTTAACCAACTGCTGCCAGAAGGAAGTGTGATAGTACAGACTACACAAGTGCAATTGTGGAGCTCAATTTTGTAGTGTAACATACTGTAGCCTTTAGATGCTTTATACATTGCAATGTCATGTAACAACAGGTCTCTATGCACAACATGACTAAAATATAGGAAACACACAAGCTAACGTGGGGTTGAACATTTTTTTGACGTATTTTAACTGATATCCTTATAGCATCACTCATTTCACTTAGATTGTCTTTGTACATGCTGTTGTGTCTTTTGTTATACCTACCATGTACAAATATCTGCATTAGACCCATTTTACTTGGTGAAAATGGGTGTTCAGTGTAAGATTACACCAGCACAGTGGTAGAAAGGGGGCACATCTACACAAGACGCTACTGCACAGTGGTTACTTTTATTAGTGAGTGCTAAATAAATGTGCAGTAACTGGAGTTACTGCACAGTTGTGCCAGTGAACATCTTTTCAGTGACACTACTTCACAGTAGCTTAATAGTACTGCGCAGTAGCATATTGGCACTATTAGTGCTGTGATGCGTTACTCCACAGTATTATTCTGCTACTGCACAGTCAGTCTCTCATGGAGACATGCCCAGTGAGATGTTGCCTTTTCACATGGAATGATGCATGTATGAATATCAAGGCATTTGACATTGTGTAAGCATGGGAATACCTCATTTAACAATTTTTTATCATTTCAAACCTCATTTGCATGTAGGGGGACTTAAATGTGGGGAGTTATCACCAACTTGCATACCCATATCAGCAAGAAAATACTGCTACCCATTAATGTGATTGGTGTTTTTCTATACAGAAGGATGCAATTTGGTCCAGAAGGTCCAGAGTTTTCAGATTAGTATTCATATGCAAATCTGAATAATGTTTCCTTTGTATTATTAGGCCTGGAGGTTTATTTGGTAAGAGTAACTCTTTGAGACTGGAGTTAGGGTTTTCTTCACCTGTGAAAAGACACTGCAGCAGTAGATAGCCAAGCAGCAAGAGTTTAAGAAATACAGCGAGGAAAAATCCATGCTATTCATAGAGAAGAGATCATCAATTAAGAAAGCTGCACAGAAGAGCCTGTATGTTTTCCAGATTACTTCTTCTCTTCCTTCCAAAGGACTCAAGTCTTGCTTCAATTCAGTCTAAATTACTTGGAGTTGGATTTGTAACTCTTCTTTAGTCTTCTATATTCAAGTGTGATCTATCTATCTATGTGTGTATATACATACATACATACATATACACACACAGAAGAGGGTGTGGAGGGGGAAGGGGAAGAATTCTTACTTTGTATAGGATCACACTTAAAATCTGCTGTCCTGGTAAAAGCTGCTGTCACGTTGGCTGGTACAGACTGGAAAACAGTTTTTATTTCATGCTGGAAAATGGTCAATGCTGAAACCATATTAGCAAAGACAACTAAGTCTTAATGGGGGAAGTCTTCTTGTATGGAATTGCTTAACAGAATGGCAGTGTAAGTAAGAAAAATAACTACATCTTCTTGCTCAGTCTCTAATTCCTCCATTGTTATGAATCTCCAGTCTCCTTTTTTCCGTCTTTCTTTGGTTCAGAAGTTCAGAAACCAGTCAGAACTTTGTGCTGTGGCTGAAGGTATCTGACATGATAATGTTTTTATAGAAGTTGTCAGAGTGAGCATTGCAGTACCCCTTGACCTTGTCAATAACCTGATGGACAGGGATGATTGATGTCTGTTCTCCATCCATTGGGGAAAATTTTGATGAGGGCTTCTCAATGAAAATATTATCTAGGGAGGGAAAAGAAAGGAAATTAATGCTTTTCAAACAGTCTTGTTATTTAGCAGATTGGGCACCTGCTAGCAATTCCCATCTGTACATTGATGTAATTCACTTTTTAGTTCAGTCACCCTGATGGGTTTTTTTTTCATGAAAGCCATTCAATTGCTTGTTATTACCTGTCTATGTGCTTTTCAATTATATATGCTATACACCAAATTCACATGTTCTAACCCACAGAAATTTGGCCCATCTCTCCAATCCTTTTCCAAATCCTCCTGCCTCTCTCTCATCTTATATTCTTCCAAATTCTGACACTGAATCTTATTGTGCCATGCTATATCAGTTTAGCTACTCATGCTCTAGAATTGGCATCAGTATTACCGTATTATAATAGAAGGGATGATTTGAATATTATTTTACAAACATTTGGGAAATGAATGAGTCAAACTATAAAACAGTAGGAACATGCTAGTGAGGAGAATGTAATAGGGTGAATAATAGAAATTAAAAAGTTATTAAATAATAACAAAATTAATAATAGTATGTAGGAAAATATAATTTACAAGTAAAACTCAAAGAGCAGGGTTTAAAACTGCCCTTACATTTGCACCCATGTGACTTCCCAACATGTGAAAAATACAAACTAAGGAAACATTGGACTAGTGTGCAGTACTAAAAGGAGGAGGAAAACATGTTCATATTTCATGTGCTCTAAGCCAAGTATGAAATATAGAGGGAAAAAAAGGAAATAAAATATCTTTGTCTTAATTTCTTCTTCAGGTTTCTAAAGTTCAGAACTCCCGAAGTTCCTGATGATGTTGGTAAAAATGCTTCTGATGACCAGATTGCATGTTATCATCATGAGATCCTTACCTGGCTTACCAGGGCAGTCAAAGAAGAGACGGCATGAAGTTCTAGCTAGTCTTTTATCTCCATTTTACATGAGGGAGCCAGCTAAACTTACTACTTAGCTATAAGGAAAAAATATTTTGCTTTTGCTAGGTGGATTTTCTTTTTCTACTTTCACCCACTAAAACTGGCTGCAAGAGACTCCTGAATTTCTTCACAACAGTCATCTTTATCTCACTAAACTTTCCTCATATAGCCTTCAGCTGAAAACTCTTTTTCAGATAGAAAAAGGAAATATCCACTTTGAAGGCTAACAGAATCACTGTTCTGAGTTTGGCCAGTAGGGAGAGCTCATGTAGTGAGCAATCATCTTTTCCCTTTTTCTCCAAATACATTGTTTTGTTGAATTCCCTTTTCTCTTCCATTCTCATGAATAAGACTGGAAGTCATTCTTTTAACACAAATTGGATAGGACCCAACGAGAAGTGAGATAGCAAGATGAATAGTTTCATGAAGGAAAGCACCCTGAGCCATCTGTTTGATACATCTTTAAGTGAAAATGTGTAACAACTTTCAAATATTTACTTTGCAAAATGTATTTATTATTCTTAAACCTAGTATATTTTATCATTTTAAATGGTGTATTTGCTATATTGCTATAAAATTATTTCTAGGAGAAATATATTGATTACCAAAGAAAACAAAATGGAAATGCAATTTTCAAAAAAATGTTTCATGATACCAGGGCATAGTGCTCATAAAAATTTGCTATATGAAATTCTGCTGTCATTGCACATAAAGAGAAATGGATTATAGAGAGGAAAATCAACAGCTTCAGTCATGGAAAAAAAGAGCCAGGCTCAGGCATATCAGAATAATATTTCTTGAAAAGCAGGTGAAAATGTCCAATGAATTACAGCAAATAATTCTGCACCCTTCTGCAAACTGCTGGATACTGCACAGTCTCTCAGTTGTTTTACTCGCTAGCCAATGGTTTTAGAATTTGGAATGTTTCTCTTTATTTTATTTAAAATTTTAAAATGGAGTCTTGTTTCTTAGGGAAGGTTGTTTCCACAGTCCTCAAATCATTACACTTAGATTAAATGAGGCTCCATTAACAAGTCACATTTCCCAAATAAATGATTTTCTACCATGTTCCCATGGCAAATAGGACTCTTTTTCTTGAGTTCAGTGGACTTTGGACTACATCTCATGGATGAAATCTTGGTCCTATTGAAGTTAATGGGAATTTTGCAGTTGACCTTAGTGCAACCAGGATTTTACCCCTTGTTTGCAACACCAGTGTAAAAGGTATTTCAGCCCTGAAAGTGACCAGTTATGGCCAGTCCCATGTCACAGCTGTGCCAGAAGACTCTGAAAATTCACAAGAATGATTTGTTTTGTGCATGTTATCAAACATTTACCTTGTGAACCTTACAACAAGGTTTCCAGGGGTATCTGAAAAACATCGTCCATCATACGGATGTAATTTATCTTTAATTGAAAGATATTTAAAACTAATGGCTAGGAGATTGCATTCTGCCAGGGTCACAGACTGTACTGAGAAACAGTATCTTACAGCTCCCAAAAATGGGGTAAGCATTAAGGCTGTGGCATGGTGCATTTTTCTAGAAGAGTTATCTTTCAAACACCTCATGCCCCAGGCAGAGCACAGACAGAGTTTGAAGAACACTTGCCCTCTGAATCACAGCAAGGCAGCATTGATGACCAAGATGTGTATAGTGAAAAACAAGCAGTGTTTCTGATTAGCAATAATCCTTTGTGCCAAGTAGGACTTCATGCAAGTGGTACCCCTCCACCCTGTGCAGATCATGCATCCAACAGAAGCAATGCACACTTTACCTGGAGTTCTCCACCTCTGATGAGGAAATGCTCTTAGAAGACATTATCTATACCATAAACACATGAATGTCTGGGTCAATTCCAGAAAGCAACAACTATATTAACAACAGCTACCAACACATACATCTATTACACACACACATGGACATATAGGTCACCCAAGATATCAAACTGAGCAGGACAGCCATGGTGGACGGTGGACCTTGAATCAAATAGGTCAGGGGTTTTCAACCTTTTTTAACAAGTGTACCTCTTCTGTCCCAAAGTTTCAGCTCATGTACCCCTTTATATTAAAATGATTTGGTGGAGCTGAGCATGTGTGCACACCCCTCCCCCAGCAGGTAAATCTGTAGGGGAAGGGAAAAGGCCATGGGGTGGGGGAAGATTGAGGCCCCCTGTGGTGAGGGAGGGTGTGGGGCACAGACAGGGACAGGGACTGGGATGGATGGGGCCCCAGCTGGGCCAGGGTGTGGGACAATCAGATGGCTTATCCAGGAGGCTGGGGGGCTCCTGCTGCTGTGTGCACCCTGACAGAGGCCTGGGAGGCACGTACCCCCATCTGTGTGTGGGTTGGAGGTGGCTGCTGCTGCGTGCTGGGCTTTGCATGCCTCTGTAGCTGCCCTGGGAACAGTGTAATGCCACGTGCGTCCTGCTGCAGGGAGGGCAGGGGGTGTGGCAAAGCCCAGTGGTGGCGGGCATGTGGCATTGTACTGCTCCTGGGGCAGTTGCAGTGGTGTGCAAAGGCCAGCATGCAAAAGCAGCTGCTTCCACCCCACGCACGTATGGGAGGTATGTGCCCCCCGGGCCTCCACCAGGGTGTGCATAGTAACAGGAGCCTCCCCACCACCGTAATCCCTATGACTTTTTTAAGTACCCCTAGGTGTACGCGTACCCCTGGTTGACAACCACTGAAATAGATCAAAGCTAACTTGTAATATTTAGTGCCAACTTAGTGCCATAAAAGTTGGCTTCAAGGAGAAAATAGATATTGAAAAACTGTGCCTACCCATAATCACTTTTGATTGTTGCTACTGAAAAGAAAGCATAATAGAATGTATATTTTAAAAAGGCACATGCAATTCAAAGAAAACAAATGAACAATAGCACTGAAAAGTAAAAAAAAAGGCATAGAATACTTTGATGTCCCCTGATGGATTACATCACCAGCTAGGATCCATTTTAGGAAATACCTTAAGCCTGTGCTTCAACTAATCCCTGTTTAGGTAAGCACTTAGCTTTAATTATGGGCTTAAGTATTTTTCCTGAATGAAGGTGCAAACCTGTGTCCAAGCTGCAGCTATGCCTTTGAAGTATTTCAATCTGATGAATTTAAACTCACAGAACTTCTACTCTGCTCTAGGGGTGCCTGGACACGTGATTAAATGAGTCTGCTGAAGTGTTCAGATTAGAATGCTCCAGGGTGTTGCAGCGTCATGTATATTCAGCGTCCCAAGATTCAAAATGGTGGCAGGGCCCTTTAACTAAAACTTGTCAAACATTCTCTAGTTAAAACACAGCACCCCTGCATCCATTTTGAAATGAGGAATGCTGAATATATGTGACACTGAGGCATTTTAATTAGAGTGGCTGTCCAGGAGCTGCTCTAATTAAAATGCCTCTTCTTCCCACCCTGGAGCACCTGTATAGACATAGAGTTTCAATTAAGAGATGGGTGGTTTTAAGTTATAGCTCTCCCAATTTCCAGTGGAACTGCCCCAAAATATGCAGTGTTATCATCTCATCTCTTGGGTTTCTGTCCACACTTCTTTCACAGATGGTCCCTTTAAATGGTGACAGTGGCAAATTTGCAGTGCTGTGATTCCACTTCAACTTGAATTTCTACTAACAAGTGTTACAGCCCTGATTCAACTGGCAAAGTATATTAGACCTTATTAATTTTTTCAGTAGTAGTTTATATAATAGTTTTAAATTGTGAGTTGGCACTTGGGAATAATAAACTTGTTTGAATAATAATATCTTTATTTTTTCCTTTCTCTGGGCAAGACCCTTATGTCAGAACTGTTCATCTTCCTAATTATAAAGAGCTCCAATTATTAATAATGAGAGTTAAGCAAACAGTAGAATCTTGAATCCTGATCTGCAGCTAAGGCTCTAAGAAGAGAATTAAGCTTTAAGTTGAAAAAATGTATTAACTTCCTGGTTTAACAAGAGGATAATCTTTGACATGGTTTAGAGATATGAAGTTTTTCTTTACTTGTTTTGGGCTTTTGTTTTTTTGTTTTGTTTTGGTTTTTTGTTTTTTGGTTTTTTTTTGTTTTGTTTTGTTTTGTTTCAC